TGTCCATAATCGTGACCCCCTTATTCCGTGATAACTTTAGGCCGGAACTACTTTCAATGTGCCTCAACGACACAAGACACTGACACAACAACGAGAACATTTCGTCTTGTCATATAACCAGTTTATTTCATCTGGAGACAGTTTGACAGAAAATGCAAACGTCATCTAAACCAACACAGACGACATCGCCGTAACAAATCCGATTATCACTCAGAGCCGTCCGGATATTGGAGGTTGAACTGTTCTTTCATAGCGGATTCGGCCTCACGTTCTGGTAATACAACGAATATTTCAATTTGCCATATTTCAATTTTCAATGGTGGCTGTTTCAGCTGCAGTTTAATTTATCATGGTACACCACAGTCTTCTGTAATCTAGCGAGATAAAATTATCTTGCATGACAACACAAGTGGCGATCTTGTCTATTCAACTCCTCTCCAACAGACAAAGCAGTCTGTGGTTAAGACCACGCTTCTGTTTTATTTCATGGTTTACTGATCTTTTGGGTATGACAAATTAATTTCGGTAGGTTGAAATTAGGATGAAAAATGTATTTGTTCAACGGTTCTGTTATAGGTGCATGGTGATTCATTTTCTAGAGACTCTGTCTATAAAAATGAATAAATTTTGTTTTGTATTTAAAAATATGAAGTTAAAGGTAATGTGTTTATATTTTTTTATTTTGTTTTTGTGCCATCAAAGATTGAGTGAATGTGTTTATGTAAATAAATTTGAATTATTTGTTATTTTCTGGTTTGGCTCCATTCGATAGAGTCAGAGTAATGAGAATAAAACATAAGTGTCGCCTAACGTAATACATGGTACTTACATCAATATCAGTGATGAAGAATGCTTGCCTAAACTGAATATTTGTTGAGTTTATGCATGTACAACTACACTGAACCATTTAGGATCATGCCAGCTGCAGATTGCCAGTCGTCGATACCACCCACAGGTGGACAGAACATCCAGACGCTCAACTCGGAAGTATACTGCAGTCACTTGCACGTTGGATGAAAGGCTGTCTATTTTATGAAAAAATATATATACAATTATAGTACAGTGTGCCTTTGTATATCGGATCTGGAGCGCAGAGAAGATTACACGAGTACACCTTGCTCCCATGGTGATACGATGCAGAGTTAAGCAGTCTTAAAACCAAACCCGGATACAGCGCTGGTGTGTGGTAACGCCCAATCATTTCAAAAACTGCGCACATAGTGTCACAATACCGAAAGGTTGCACCGGTAAATTTGCCGGCTTGTTCGCCCAGCACAAAGCATATCCAAGTGTTATTATATCAAAACCATTGCGGTTAATTTTGTTGGTGTGATGAATCAATGGCGGCAGCTGCTGATCAGGCAACAGATCAAATGGAGTCATGCAGCTATTTATATGTTTGGGGAATTCCCAACTTTCAGTCCATGGGCGTAGGTCCAAGGACGCGACCCACATGCAGTACAGGACACGTCATAGTCACATGACTACATTCTCAACATAGATCAGGCACCACTCCTCATAGGGTACATGGCCATGTGACTTAACCTTGTGTGTTAGGCGGGAAACCGCATGCTTTTGGGGATCAATCGATGTGCACGGGTACCACCTGAGATTCGGCCTTGCAGTCAGTGACGTGGTATAGTGGGGTGAGTCGTTCCTAATTAATGTAGTAATTCAAGTAACAGAAAAAAAGACGGATTTGCAATGCGTTAACTGAAAAAAATAACATAAACGGTTAATTTAGGGATATTTAAAAAAAAATATGAATGTCATATTTGAATTAACGGTTGAAGATGAGGATGTTTGTGAACCATACGAGGGTAGACAGTCTAACCAAGGGTTCCGAGAGAAGGCGGATCTTCACCGAGCCTGTCCATGACACCAACAACGATGCAGTTATGAGTTGACTCGTGTTGTTCACAATGGTGTCGGCAGCTACTCTGTCGCATCGGAACATACGCTAAGTTTCCTAATTGACACAGCGTAATTGCATCTGCTCTGTACGTAAAAACACAACATGAATATAGATGTTTGTTAATCGCTATGTTAGTTAGACTTCATATTTAAAAACAACCCATCCACCTCACTACCTCTCACATACGCTACTTCCTCATCAGGTTGTATATGGAATATATAAACGTTCCATAGAATTGGAGGCGTATGTCTCGTCAAATGTTTCGTTTTTTGTTTAATTGTATTTAGGTATTTGTGGCTTTACAACATTTCAGACCATCACAAATATAGTTAGAGGAACGAATCATATCCTTTTCCTTTTTGTTTATTTATTTAATTTTTAAATGCCAGATTGGATTGAAATATGAATGTGGCGTTTGTGACAGATCTACCGGGGGAAGACCTGGAAAACCTGGCTACTAGGGCTATGGCCGCCATTAACATAGTGGTTATATGTCAGTAACAATAGTTAAAGAGTAAAAGAAAAAATGTTACAGTTGATGTTTCATTTTTATTATGTCATCTTATCATAAAGATGTGTGAAAGGACAGCTGTAAGGGGAAATGGGAGGCTGTATTTAGCATATTCTTGTATTTCAGACACAGTAATATATGTTTAAAGGTATCAAAATACCCTAGGACATATATTAGCGTGTCTGGAAAAAGCAATATTTGTCTGGAATAATCATGCGAAAATTATTGATTTTTTTACAAAAATGTGGCAACCCTGTGTATCCTGTCAAGTAACTTTACCAGAACTTGAGTTCTTCATTTTTAGAATTACAATCATTACAAAGATCTTTTTTGTCCCATACGTTTAGGGAGATTAGTGAGTAGCTTGATGTGAATACAAGCAGCCGGGGCTGTGTCAGATCAGAAACTCACTACCACTTGAAATATAAGACAATATTCATTTGGGAAGCTTAAAGAGATTCCGAAGACCTAAAAATGTGTCTTCAGCCCTCAGTATCTGCCCAGAGCTCTTTGCATTATTGATGTATCAGCGCTTATGTATGCTAGGAATTTACAGATCATTAATGTTTGATTTGGTTTCATATAACAATGTTTTTAGTAAAGTACAAATATGCACACAAAAATACAAATTGTCTTTCTCGAGACGTCTTAGACAGTTGATGACATAGTCAATATGTTACTGCATTTTTAAAGTGTATTTATTGTCATGGGGCTACAAGTAAAGGTACAATATTGTCACAGGAAATGACGTGCTCATTTGTTTAATAATATAGTACGTTCATATGAGTTTGTATGTATTTATGGGCACATGTTACACTTACGTTGGTCTTATATATGTAGTTTCAATGACTTGTTCATCTGACCAACAACACTCAATTTATCTCTAACGATTGCCAACTCCTGGAGAAAACCCCGGAATGAGCAACACTCTGATCCAAGATAACTTTGGTAGTATTTGTTTATTCTTCTTTTTTTCATACATGTAAGAAATTTAGCCCTTCGAAAATATCAAAAACAAGGCTTCCCGAGGCACTAAAAAATCAGCACTTTTTAACGTACCGTATTGTTCATATCACCTGGTGCTGGGTCGCTGTGTCTCCTTCATATACCAGTCCCCGTACTTTCATTTTAATATTCATCAACGTTATATTGTAAACACACAGATAAAGTCCGTTTATATTGGTATTTAGTGTGTACCCCGCAGTAATACGTAACAGAGGTCACTAAGCAGTCAGAGGCCGCCCATGTAGGACTGGCCAGACGTTTTCAGCTATATGTATTACTTAAGCCATGTATACGTTAAACAAATACAACATCGTCTCTTCCTTCTCAGTACATTTCCTTAGTGAATATATGCCCACAAACGTCTACCATGCACGGGCTGCGTACACACCAATGCTATCGTTTAAATCCAACTTTACACTCCACCGCATGCTCTCGAGGTTAGCTTGCGGCTAGAAACAGCCTGGTCTGAGATTCAAATTGCGTGATTGCGACAGCCGTTTCGCTGCAATGCTTTATTTCAATCCTTTATTTTCAACAGGCTATAAACAAGTGCGAAAGCAAGTGATGTCGAAATGGTTTATTACCGTTAACACGCAAAGCCCCCATCGGATACGTGTAATTTCGTGGTTTGACAATAATTTCAGCTAAGCCCCCTTGTGATATGAGTGAAGTTTGATCTGTAAAGTAAATCTTACATGTGATGCCCTTCCTGACACCGGGTGTTGAAATGGCAGTGTTTGTTACCGTGAGCTTACTGTATACACTGTTTTACTGTCCTCCTTTCGGGACAGTTGAAGTCAAGTGTGACCGAACTTGTATGTATGTATTTATGAAGTTTCAGTTGACACTTGTATTAAACAGCCGAAATGATGGGTCCTGTCTGTGTAAGCTCACACTAACTATTCATCATTTGCAGAAGATCAGAACAGTTCTTTTCATTCTGGTGAATAGTTGGTCAGATATACACCCATGCCACTTGGGCCACTCTTTTTGGATACAAATATTCATCCTTATCATCATCATCATCACCATCATCATCATCAGATATTATTCTCTTAGCATGTAATCTTTCTGTGTGTGGCCTCATGTCGAGACAGAAATTTGACCCCCACCCCCCACAAAGAAACAAACAAAAACAAACCAACCAAAAAAAACAACTTTACCAACTTGAATCTTAGAATGTTTAAAACGGTTGACTTGAATACTTTCCATATATATTTCTCCCCAGCTAATATATCGGTTTTGGTGATAGTGTAGATACAGTGTAGATCACGGTGAAGTCGACACAGATTTACGCTCTCGACATAATACCAAGGGTGCACGTATATAATGTATGTTTTGTAGAGCAGTCTGTTGTGGTAAGGGAACCTGCATCCACAAAGAAAATACACTAACAATTCCTTTAGAATAAAATGATAACAGATTCACATGTATATTCGTTGTGATTTATGTCCTACATCCATCTGATGGTGACTGCACATTGATGGGTCTAACATTCACCGTTAATTTTATCAGACACTATTGTCAGTATCTGCGGATAAATATAAAAAAATATATTTTATTTTACAGTGCAAGTGGAGTGCCCCTCCTTGAACACGGAGGAGCTTGTTGTGTCTCCCAGCAACCGATGTAAACTCCCCTCACTGGGGGTTTTGCTTGCCACTTATGTGTTGCGCCATCATACTGGCCTGCAAAATCCCAACTGAGGAGGGCTGAAAGCTGCTCGACCAATCAAATTGCTGGTTACAGTCAGGTATCCAATCAGAACGTGCAAAGTCACAGAACTGGACTCACATCTTCTAGGTAATTTAACCGAATGACTTCAGACTGAATAATGTCATGACATACAGGTTTCAAATGTTGGATCTTTCCTACGGAACTGCATACTGTAGTCGCTTAAAGTGCTTTTATTGGAGACTTGGGAAGGTTTCAGGGAATTGTATCATTAACGGGTATCAGGTAACGGCTGTGTCTAAAAATATCAAGGACGCTCAATAAATAGTATGCATATAGTCTTCTGTTTGAACGCATGTAGGGGAGCTGTCATTACTTTTTAATACCGTATTTCCTCTGTTAGATTCCTGGTCGTCTATTAATTCCGTGCCAGTCGTCGACCGAGGGTCTATTCTGTTTAATGATGGCACCCTTGGCGAGAAACTATACCTTACTGAATCCCAAATCCTACAGTTGTACAAAGGGTACATTTGCATGAAAGCAACAACATATGGCAATAAAAAAGGGAACTGTTATCTTAGCTTCTATTAGCCTGGCTTCTATTTTCTGGAAAGAGCGCATGGCCATGGATCAAGGAGAGATCAGAATGTATTATAATCTCAGCGTCTAGCAGAGGAAATACGGTACTCTTAATCTGACACATTCAGGTTTCAAAACACGCTGGAAACTGTTATGATTGTATAAGGAAGGAAGCGAAACATCCAACGCAGAATTTCGCAATGTCAGGATTCTCATGTATGTTTGTATAAATAAAACTCTTAACAGAATGTGTCGGCTTCTGTTTATACTATCCATATGAGGACCCGGATGTCGGTTAATAATTTTTAAAAGCACTTTCATTTGACCAATAAAAGTTTGGACCAGGTGTTCAAATGTCTGTTCTATCGAAGCTTCACATACCAACGTAAATGCAATCCCGCATTTAAAGTTGAAGATGTTCTTGTTCAAGACGAATGTCGCATATTTCCAACAGATTAGAAACAGACATTTTTCAACATTTTCGGCATTATTCCTCAGAAAATATACTGTGGATAATATATAGCATAACACGCACACATCTCGGGAGATAGGGTTACATCACAATGCATTCTTATTTAGGACAGATAATCCGTAATCCCTTGTAGTTTGTCGGTTATTCTTTGAATATCCAGGGTCAGATAACCTACTTTACAGTACAAGACTCTCAGGATACACGGACGTCATGCCACATCTACACTACCTACCTAAATATCCTAAATATCCCACCCACCTACCTAGAATGAGCAGCTGGGTCTAACGGAAATACGCACTGATATCTTGAAAAGAGAAAAACAGGCATGTAAGGGACCGTTCATAATTTTTAAACATATTTTTTTTGGGGGATGGGGTGGGGGCGATGATGATGATTTTTATGGAGAAGCATATACAATGTGAATCCCCCCCCCCCCCTAAATTTATGTACAAAATAAGTGACCCCGCTGCATGCCATGTACAAAATCAATGACTCCCTCCCCTTCCCATAAATTCTAAGCATAATTTTAAACATACAATTATGTACAAAATTGCCCCCCCTTGTCCTGAAAGTTTATTAAATGACCATTGAAACTCGGGTGAAAATGAAGTGAGCACCCTCCCTTTTCTCAATAGTGTGCGCACCCCACCCCACCCCCTTTCTCAAATAGCTGTATCCGCCCCTGATAGCAATACATGTTGGCATGTTCTCCACGCAATGTTCGCATTAACTTTTAAAGGACAGTTACTCTTTAGCAGGCATGTTAACTCCGTTGGTATACGCAGCAATTATACTACCCACACTTTGCTAAGGATCACAAAAGTTCACAAGTTTACTTCAACATAGAGTTTTAATTTGTAATTGTATCCATTTGAAACTGGATAAATAATGATATGGTAACATCTCTTTAGGCAAACAGCCACTTCAATCTAACCTTATGCACTTGATACATGAGTGACCATAAAAATGGTTTTCGTGGCACCAATCAACCATTTTGCAAATCATGGAACGAGTCATTGACAAGTACACAACACCTGTCAATAGCAGGTATGGGATCCACACGCTGCAATGACATACTGAAACCTAGGTTCCATGCTTACAACAAGCTTAGATATTTAAACCAAATTTGATCCCACATCATAGTTTTCTGGTGAACCAATGATTTGATCCTTACCAAAGTGTGAATAGTATAATATTTGCATGTAGCGCTTATAGGTCCAGTGTTAAAGGTTATTAAGAATATTAAGTTCCCTAGGTTGGCTGGTTATCAAACTGATTTATTGGAATATTGGTAATCGCATCTTTCCGTAACTGTATTACGAACACCACATCATGTATTGGTCGGTATCTAGCCACTCCAACCGCATGTCATTTCTTACGTCTGACGGCATTTAGAAATCTTCAGCGAAATGACTTATCTCACATAATCTGTCCGAGGGCATCGTAGTCCAAGGGATATAACTCATCCCGTCCTGTACAATAGGCAGGATGTTGTATGCTGTTTCCGGCAACAAGAAAGAAGAACGCGCACATAGGTGGATCCAGGAGAGGGGGCATTGAAACTCTCGATAAAACGGGTGAAAATAAAGTGAGCGCACGCACGCACGCACACACACCTTTCTCAACAGTGTGCACCCACTTTCTCAAAAAGCTGTTTCCGTCCCTGGCGCTTATTTCTACAGACTAATACTTGTTTCGTCCGAAGGCTTTGGAAATGGAGAATAATATTTTCTACGGTGATAATCGGGTCGTCGCCTACCTGTCATGGATTGGAGAACACTGGCTTTACTCCAGGAAGAGCAGGTTCATTCGTCACAAGCAGTGTCTTTCCTTAGCCGTGACATGAAGCAATCGTGACTAACTCTATTCGCCACCACTCTTACCTATCCGTAATTTACATGAAGCTGTCTGGGGACGCCACGAGTCGAATCGACGCAAGCTTATTACAATGTGCGTTAAGATAATGGTACTTCGATCGGTATTATCACGACTGTTAATATCAATTTAATGAATTTAAATTAAATTAACTTTGAATGTAGATTGTCATTTCTGCATCGCCGTGTATCCAGATAAGCGTAATATGTTAGCTGTAGAACTTTTTGGGACATTTAACGTGCATTTATTTAAATTAAGGAAAGGGTGACATGTTTTAATTGAGCTATTATTACACGTGGCTTTCAGTGTAATATCTATCTTGATAATATACCAATAGTTGATAAAATAATATTTAAAGTAATTAACTGATAACCGACTTCAACACAAATTGTTCACGTAACTTTTAGCCTGTAGTTTTATTATATTCCTTTTGCGGCACATCTACGATACACGGATTTATGTGTAACAGACTCTGGGAGCTAATGCTTATAAGGACGATATAACATGTTTTCATTTCTTTGATTAAAGTTTAGGCTGTAATTTATTAAAATTTGTAAGTAGACACTAATTTTGTAAGACGAGACGGAATGATTGAATTTTCTCACGTCATTTATGTTTCTTCGCGTTTTGTCATGTCAAAATTAGAATCAGTGAGTTAAACGGTATGGTCGCATCGACATTTGTTCTGCCAGAAAGCGACACGGCAAACTTTATACATACACGGCAAACTTTATACATACACGGCAAAGTTCGTCATAAATACAAGGCATGTTTGACAGCATTTGTTTGTCAAACTTAAACAAGGTGTATGTCTTTGGGTTAGCTGATATATTGTAAAGTAAAATATATTGAAAATGGTAATTGTCGTATAATGGTGCAATTGATCGTCTAGTTCTTTGCTGTTACCCATGCATGCATGTGTTCTGGCAGATCCGGGTCACTTATCTTGATTACGTTCAGCGACAACAGAACCAGACAAGATACAGGTTGACTCTTTGATTCCACAGGGCTTGAACTGTATAGGGACACATCGTGATGTCAACGGCGTTAAACGACGGGATACGACCCTTCAAAGTCCTGATTTGTCGTCCTTAATTGTACCATCTGTGCCACGGACTCTTGTCGTGGTCACAAACGGCCATGTTTCTTGTCATCATTGGCTGGTTTACTTGTACATGTTTATGTTCGGACTGTACCAGCTGGAAGTTGTAGTGGTAGGGGCTTCCGAATGGGATTTAGATCTCTAGTTTCAGTAACTTAGTATTCGTGGTCCGTCTTATCCTGGTTAATAACGTGCTCAATGAAGTGGAATGTATTGTAGTAAAAAGTATTTAAACATACTTTAATTCTTAATATTTCTTTTATTATTTGGAAAACACACAGTGATGTGTTCTTTGTAATAAATATGTTTGAATTTATATTAAAACACTGAACTTGTTTGAAATCTGAACAGATTACGAGGCTGATGTTGTATATAGTTGGCGTCTAGGCTGTGAGACCCTACCTCGTTTATATTAACTTAAAAAGTACAGAAACCAGTCATGTACTACGTGGAAACTCACGCGCAATGGCTGAGCGAAGGAGATGCATTTTCCTGATCACGTACCGCTTGCCAAATGGACAATGGACCACCTCTCACGCTTCAAGCCCCGATTCTGCGTCCTTGCTCTTGGTTTTGTTCATTTTCCATGGTTTCCTACTTGAAGTCATAAATGCTGTACAGAACACAGCTTCGAATCGTCTTTAAAATTTTAAGTTTAAGACAAATATCTGTCTTATGACCAAAAAGTGAAAAATTATTTACACGGGTATAGATGTAGATATTTTATAACACGTTTTCGCTATTTGTTAAGTATGACACGAGTAGCTGATTTCCCTGATTTAGTTAAGTGTACATTTTACAACAAACCTGAACAATACCCTATCCCTTGTGCAGCAGATTTGATATTTTAAAGAATTCTTACAATACATACCTGCAATATTTACATGAATAATTATATCATTTTGATTTTTTTTCAGTTGAGCGAACTACAGTCACCTTTTAAACATTCTTTTACACCTCTCAGGTGTCACGCAAATTCCAGACATATCTTATATCCTAAGCATTCGTTAATCCAGGTTCCTGCGAAAGAACTTGTTATTTGAATGTCTTGAATTTTCTTGAAATAACACTGGGTGGAAGTAAGCAGTGATGATTTCTTTTCGAACAGTGGTGACGGTTCCGCAAGATTGGGATGTCCTATTAGTTTCAGGTTTAGGTGTAAACAAACTGATAACATATTAGGCAAATATTTATAGATGGAACTTTACAAACTTGGCTAAGTGTAAGTAAACCAAGCGTCAAGGCTGACCAAGGCACGCTGTGTTTGTTGGACTGAGTATTGTGTGATAAAGGTAGTTTTACTGTTTTATAACAGAGAGAATCAACCAGGGTCTTAGTCAGGTGGTTTTCAAAAGTGACAGTTGTGTGCACCAACTTCACAAACAACGCAGAGTGGCGCCTCGATGATAGCTACTGTCGCAGGTTTTCATGTCTTGTGCCTTTTTAAATATAAACACAGCTCTTCGCCCTTTAAGTGAAATTGCTGTATACAAACGCACATCTGGGAGAGGTCACCAAGTGTTTCGAAGCTACCATTGTACCTTTTCTATTTAATGCATTTAAAATGCGAGAACAAAGTGAAAAAATGCGAAAACAAAAAAACAGAGATGCAAATAGACTCTGAAAGATACGCTATTGATTGTGATGTATTTATACCAAAAATCGAAAGATAATGTTCCTTGGCACATATTAGAATACACAAACTATCAATAGCCAGTTAATTATTTTCATTAAATGATTGAATCTATGGAGCTTTGTATCTTTACCGACGACGTCACTTGCTGCCAATTTAACCCAAG